GGACGAGGCGATGAGGCGGAGCGGCCCAGGGAAGAAGCGTCGGGCAAGGGTTGGGCTAGGATGCATCGACGGGGGTCGGTTTTTACTATAAGTACATTGGGTCGTGGATCGAAGGTGATGCGCTGCGCGCACAAGCTTTGTGCTTGGGCCATGGCGGGCGCAGATGGAGGGTTTCCGAGAGAGGAATCCACCAATACTCACGGCAGGAGTACTGACGGCGCTTGACTGAGGGGTAATATGTGGAGTGGGAAGGGAAGTAAATTTAGGGAGAGGTGGGAGTTGCGTGTATGGGTTATTTTCCAGGGTAGAGAAGATATTTCTGGCTGCTGTGGGTGTCTGATCATTATTAGTAGGTGGTGGTACAAAGGACATACTGTCCGGAATTGGCATAAGACTAGGAGGTGGTGTAGAACCGGTACCGGTCATGACATGGTCAGTTATGCCCCGGTACCGGTCGGTTTCCAGGTCGATGGTGTCGAGTTCGGGTGTCAACAAGGGGATAATCGTCCGCCAGGATAGAGCTTCACCCTTGGGAACACCCCCGGCTGTGGGAGTGTACTTCAGAACTATGTCGGTCCAACGCTGAAAGACGGACTCGGAGATGTGGAGTTTCCACCCCACAGCTTCAAGAAAAGATAGCTCATTCTGGTTGATCTCCAAGGTGTTTAAGCCTGAAATCTTACTCCACGCACGAGCCGAGTAGTTACGGTCTTGAAGGTACTTGGAAGCCAGAATGAGTGCTGAAAGAAACATGCGTCTGCCGCATTGCATGGCACGGGTGCAGGGCTGGTTCCTGGATTGCTCCTTGGTGAAGTCATGCTTAGGTACATGAGGCTTAATCATGATGAGATAGTACAGAGCTACTTGCAAAGTCGAATAGCTGGTCCGTGACCGTCGAAGCGTTTCCTGTATGAATGTACGGAGAGGCAAAACCCCCCTTGATCCCAAGGGTGAATCATGGCGTAGTGCTACGACCGACAGCGGCCAGATGGTTTCGACAATCTGAGAGGCCGAGTCTTCAAGAGCAGAACATAAAAGAGGACACGAAGATGAAATTAGAAAATCGAACATGAGACAGGATGAAGACGGGATTACACCAGACTCACCAACAAGATTGTCGACAAAATTGACTTTCCGATCACACTGGCGGACCAGGGACGGAGGAGCCCGGGAGCAGACAGAAGAAGATGAAGCATTGCTATAAGTACGTCGGGGATTCTGCCGCAATTCAGGTGCAACTGCGGCGTCAGCGACTTTGGAACCACAACGTCTGCCAGAACGAAGACAGTGGAAGTTCGATTCACTTGACGAGCCCAAACTTCTACTTCCCGTCTGCTGTGAGTGTGAGTCAGCAGTGCCTAGGACTTCATTTTCCCAGATCACGTCAACAGAGCTCGTTGAAGAGGAAATGGAACTCTGCGACGGGTCGAGAGAGAAGACAGAAGACGAGGACGAGGAGGCTGATGAGGCGATGGACGATGCGTATGGGTGTGGCTGGGTTTGAGGATGTGGAGCTTTCTGAAGGCCTGGGTTCGCAAGGCTGAAACCCAGGACGTCCATTACTGGCATGTTCGGATGGGTATTTTCACGACCACGATATACACAGGCCTTTTTTAAGATGGAAAAAAAGATGTAAACAAGCCCTTATTTAAGGATGAAGCTTGTCTTTTCCTCTGTAGGCGTTGGTGTTGGGTCGGAAGCTAAAAATATCGTATGGGAAATGTCGAAGGTAACGGGCGATTTGGTAAAAACCGGGTTAATATTGATTTTTCCGGGGGAACTAAAACCGTTTAGATAAAACCGTGTAAGAAGTGCAGTGGGCAGTCCCGTCTTGATGATTGTTGAGAGGAGACGGGGACCCTCTCTATACTAGGTCAGAATCCAGGATGGAAGGCAGTTAAGGACTGCAAGGTTGGTAAAAAGGAGGTCGAGATGAGTCGCAAAACTATGTAGGAAAGGAAGAAATGTCCTGATGGAGGGGAGGTAACGTATTGGAGTAATTAGATTCCGATCACCAGCATTGGAGAGTTCCAAATGGGGGCGCGATTGTATGTATATCCTTATGTATATTGTGTAGGCGTACGGGAGCGAGAATGGGAGGAGGCTGTTTAATATAAGGACAATGAGACAAACAAGTATTAACCGGATCTGAGTATGAGTAATTGGGAATATATGCAGGTACCATGCAGCGGAGAGCGTAGGCTGCTTTGATCAAGTACGTGGGAGATTGGGTGGCATGCACTCAGGTTCCCAATGTACAAGGGGGAGGAGGCAAAGGAGCGTGACTCTTCTTAGGGCGGAGGTACCCGGCTTCAACTCAGAGGCGGCCAGTCATCTTGCCGGCGTAGTTGTATGAAGAGGATGGCAATTTGGAATCTGCTAAGCTGGTGATCGGATCGTTGGAATATGACAGGACAGGGTACATCATCACCCTGAAGCCTCTCTCCTATTTATTTAGTTTTTATTTTGCGTTGTGAACAAAACAGACAAAAACGCGGCGGAGGGAGACGAGGAAGGCTGGTGTTGGTGGTTGGTGGTGCCCCGTAGTTTAAGCTTGTTGCTGTAGGCAGCACCAGCTAGTGTCTTGCGCTTAATTCCAGGAGGCTGTTCTGAATGCTGGTTTGCAGCACAAATAAATAGCCAAGAGGGTTCAGATGGAATGCTCCGGTTTCCAAGGACAGGGAATTTGCTGTTCTCGTGCCTGGTGGCTTCGAATGAGTGAGGTGGTGAGTAATGTGGGCGGTTGGTGTGAGTGGTGGTGTACCCTCGGATGTGAGGAAAAAGGCGAGGTTGAGAGAGACGGAGAAGAGGGATGGGGGAAGAGGGAGGAGAATGATTACTGTGGTGGAATAGAACTTATTCCGCTAGCCGTCAGCAAGTCATCTTATATTGCTATGGTTATAATGAGGGGAGAGACAGAAAAAGGAGAATTGAGCAATGGAATGTTTGACGATTAGGTTAGGTTTGGGTTTGTATGACTGATTTCGGAGTCAGGGCCAGTGGCCGGGTGGCGATGTGGCGAGGGACCGGCAAGGAATAATCATAATAAAGCGGAAACAGTACGGGGTAGTGGAGTATGAACTTAACTTACCAGGGCAAATAAGGGGTTGAAGAGTTAACAAGAAAGCCAAATAATGGAAAGCAATAAAAAATCGATATAGTAAAAGTAAAAATTAGTAAAAAGGAAAGATAGGCCGTGGGGATATTCAGATATGAACCAGTACGATGCGATGTCAATAAAATGGAGAGGGTAAAGATGGGTCGATGAGATAACTGCACTGGTTTCCAGTTAAAAAGAGTTAAGTTAGTTTTGAACACTTCATTATTAGTTATGGTTAAATAGCTGAAATTACATTGAAATGATAAGTGTCTTTGTGTTTTTGTTTTTTCTTTCTATTATTTTAATCCTCAGCAAGGCCAGATAATAAAGATGGATGGATGCATTTTTTGAAGCAATCTATCATCAGTATTACTTGGCTTGCAATAGGACAGGGGGAAGGGGGCGATATGGAGCAGGTTCTTTGTTAAAAACAAGTGAAGGCGTGGGGGA